ACTAATAAATTTACCTAATAGAGCTGATTTTGATGTATATCAGTTTTAAAGTGCCGTTGGATGCCACTGCAGTTAAACCAGATGATAGGTGCCTGGCATACTGCTTAACCAGCTTCAGTAGAGCAGCAAATTAGTAAACCTGTACACCACGTGCTGTTCAGTTAGTGATTTCATCTGCTATAAACTGTCTTGAGTACTTAACATCTCTTGTAAATAGAACCACTGCCCCAAATAACCATATATATGAGGAGTAAATAGAGTAAAAATATCTTGTGACAATGTGTGTATTTATTTATGCACAGACTAGATTTCTCTGAGTGTTTCTGTTCTACTCAAAAAAATTATTGGAAATAGAATTGCTGCTGGATACCATTGAAATTAAAATGTTAGAGTATAGGTTAATAGAAGTCACTTCTGCAGTTGCATTTTTGAGTAAATGTTTATAAATATTTTGTTTGAAAATGTACAGTAATATTAATAAGTTTGGTCTAATTTTATGTATTTTTTTTTTTTTTTTTTTTTAGTGTTTTTTTACATGTAGGCAAATTTATCAATACAACTTTAATGTAGAAACCAGCTATGTTCCTGCTCACCACTTGACATCTGTTTATGTATACTTTCTACCCTTATTACCGCCCCCCCCTCCCTGTCTTCCTCCTTCATTAAAATGATTAAAGTTATTCCTACTGGATAGCTAATTGTGTTTTTGTTTTTTTTATATCCATGTTCTTATGCAATATCTTTTGCTACCAGGTAAAGTCTACACTAACCGCATATGTCTGCTTTATTCCTTAAATGGTGATATAAATCTTAGAAAGTAATGGTATAAAACATGTTCAATAATACACTGCATCCATTAGAATGCAGTGGTGGTTATGAAAGGAACTATGAGGTGAGTGCTTTTCACTCACCCTCATAGTTCTAGCCGACATGTGACAATGAGACTGTCACAGGTCGGCTCAGTAGATCGGGAAGTGAGCGAACACATACCGGCGTTCGGTCACTTCTCGATCCTGTCACGGCAGAGAGCCGTGACAGGACAGGGACTGGATTCCCCCCGCTCCGATCCTCCAGCGCTGACTGGCTGAACAGACGGGGGAGGGGGCGGGTACAGCTGGCTCTGCCTCTAGATAGGCAGAGCCAGCTGTCACTCATGCAGCTGGGCGGATCCAGACATAATTGCTGCAGCTCGCGGTATACTGAGCTTAGGGTGACGGGAGGACGCTAGTTTGTGTCCTCCCGTTACCCTAAGGAGAACTATGGGG